TGATGGAGCTAGAGTCATCTAGCTTATTTTTGAAACTCCACTTAGTTCTAATAACTTGGTGAGCATGATTCCTTGGAACAAGTTTCCAAACTTCATTTTTCTTGAATTGATTTAGTTTGTCCTGCATTCCTAGGAACCAATTCTCATCTTTTAATGCATCTTTCACTCCTAGGAACCAATTCTCATCTTTTAATGCATCTTTCACTAACTTTGGCTTTGTATGAGACACAAAGGCAACATCCAAGCATAACTGACTTAGCTTTCTCCTAGTGGAGATTCCCTGGACACATCTCCTATAACATTTTCCAATGACATATTTCTTATAACAGTTTAGTCTTTGGTAATTTAGTTGAGTGGTTGTGGCTTGTATTGAGGTTGTTTTTTCACATGGATTTCTTGATATTCCTTTGTTAAATTTGCACCTGCTTCATCAAGGTCTGCACTAGTTCTTGGTGTAGGTATGTTAGTCGTGTTATCAATATATTCATCAAATGCAACATGATTGGATTCTTCAACAGATAATGTTATTTCATTATATACTCTATAAGCTTTGCTAGTCAATGAGTAACCTAAGAAGATGTCTTCATAGTTTTAGAGTCAAATTTTCTAAGGTTAGATTTGGTATTGTTTAGTACAAACCACTTGCACCAAAAAGCTTTAAGGTGTGATATACTTGGTTTCCTTCTTTTGAAGAGTTCATAGGGTGTGAGTTTCAAAATGATTTTATTAAGATTCTGTTGAGTACATAAGATTTCAGAAGGTTGGAGAAGAGATAGTGCATGCAGAAAGTGGAACGTGATTTGAAATTTTCATTTAAATACTACCGTTAAAACCGAACGGTCCACTCTCTTGTAGCCACCTGTCTTCCACTAACCTACTTAAATTTTCTCAGTCCTCACATCCATCGATTCTATAAGATATCTTGTTGAATTTTCTTGCATCCTCAATCATGTGTTTTGAACAACCACTATCTAGATACCGTGTTATTTGTTTTCCCTCAAGACGTAAAACAAATTAAAGAGGCAAAGTTGATACCTAGTTAAATTTAGGTCTTTTCATGTTAGATGATTTTAATGCTCCTTTAGGTACTCATTTAAACTTTCCTTTGAGAACCTCATATTTCTTAAAATAGCAAGAATTTTATGCATGACAAAGTTCACAACAGTAGAAGTAAGTAATAGATCAAGGTTTGCTTATGTCAAGAAAATTTATAGATTTTAATCAATTAATTTCACTAGTATAGCCTATGTGTTAAGTACATTTTGAGAACTAAGGATGTCATCAAGATTGGAGCTACCTAAAGTAAACTTAGAAAGAGTTTTCATCAAATACTATTCTTTCTATTTGTTTTGGGTTCTCATAACTAGGTGCACTTTTCTTACAATTGTAGACAAGGTTTTTATGAACATTTTCTAGAGTTTCTAAGCTAGTTTCATATTTTCATTTTCATCCTCTAACTGTTTTAATTTATTCTCTAACCACCTGCTTTTATACCTATTATTTGAATATTACAATTTTTTAGCTTCCTCATGTAGTTCCTGAAATGCATCAAATAGTTGATAATATTTGTTTTCATCATCATTAGAGTCAAAACTACTTACACTGCTTTTAGAGGATCTAGGCCAACCATCAAGCATAAATTTGTTTCTTCCTCAATATTCTCATTGAATTCACTAGATGTATTGGAGGCATTGTCTTCCTAGGTGATGCAAGCTTTCTTTTTCTTATACTTGCTACCTTCACCTTTCTCTTCCAGTTTTTGCTTCAGTTTGAACACAAGACAAACAGGCTTGATGTGACCAATTTTACCACATTCAAAGCATGTTGGAATATTAGATTGTTCTTGCTTTTTAAAGGTTCTCCTATTTCATGTAGAAGCATGGTTAAATTTGTTATTGTATTTCAAAAATTTTGAAAATCTTTTTACCATAAGATTTAATGCTTTATTATCTGAATTTCCATCATCTAGATCATCTATAGATTCAACTTTTATAACAACAAATTTTACAACAGCTTTGGCAGCCAATTTTCAAGGATATGGTATGGCTTTTTTCTCATTCCTCTTCCTCTTTGAGTATTCCTTATTTTAACTAATGTTCTCTTAATTTCCCAAAGAAGTGACCATATTCAGAGTTGTAATGTCTCTTAATTCAAATATTGTTGTAACCTTAGGTTGCCATGTTTTGTTTAGATTCTTTAGGATCTTGATGTTAAGTTCTTCCTTATCAAAAGTTATGCAAAGTGCTAGGATGTGATTTACTAGGTGAGTAAACCTTTTCTAAACAACATAAATTCTTTCTCCATCATTCATTCAATAGTGCAAAAAGGACTTTAGACGTTTGTTATTTTGGACTTTTAACGTCTGATCTCTGTCCGACGTCTATACGGGTGACGTTAATGAGACGTCGGACCCCTTAGGTCAGACGTCTCTATAGACGTCGAACCTATATAGGTCCAACGTCTATATAGACATCTGATCTATATAGGTCCGACGTCTATATAGACGTCTGATCCATATAGGTTAGACGTCTGATCCATATAGGTTAGACGTCTCTGAGGTTGCTCCTGACTCATGGTGATTCGAGTTTACAACTTTATATTTTAGTTGAAGAGAATGTATTGTACATTTTTTTATTGAATGGTTTTAAAAACGTAGTAGAGGGAATTGGAGGAGTACAAAACACAAGAAACCGCCGCCATAGAACGCCGCCATAGAACGCCGCCTAGAGACACGATAATAACTGCACCAAAACCCAACGAAAACGCATTTTAATCGGTTCAAATGAAAGATAATGCATCAAAGAGTGATGTAATCAGAGTAAAATTAATTTAAAACGGTGCAAAAGTGATAAAACGAACCTGAAAAGCGTAACCCGTAGAGAGAAAACGTGACGAAGATGATGAAAAATGAGTGCGTGTAACGGCTGTCTCGCGTTCACGCTGTTTTAATGCCAAAATTTAGACGTTAGTTCCCCCAATTAACAGATGTCTAAAGTGCTTCAGAAGTTGGAGTGGCGGGATCAGACGTCTAAATGGAGTCAAAAAGTGACTTTTTAAATTTCCGGATTTAGGGTTTAGACGTCGGTTCCCCCAATTAAAAGACGTCTAAAGTGCTTCAGAAGTCGGAGTGGCGGGATCAGACGTCTAAATAGCGTCAAAAAGTGACTTTTTAAATTTTTGGATTTAGGGTTTAGACGTCGGTTCCCTCCATAACAGACGTCTAAAGTGCTTCAGAAGTCGGAGTGGCGGGATCAGACGTCTAAATGGAGTCAAAAAGTGACTTTTTGAATTTCTGGATTTAGGGTTTAGACGTCGGTTCCCTCCATAACAAACGTCAAAAAGTCAGGCCCTTCCATAACCGACGTCTAAATAGTTGTTTTATTTACGAAAAATGCCACCGGTCATTTTTTACGTTGGATATTCGAGGATCAGACATCTAAAGGGTGACGTTAAAGGTCTTTTTTGCACTAGTGATTCTAAAAATTTTCTATTCTTGAATGACGATATTTTTTCTTGACCTCTTGACTTCATTTGTGCCTTCATGTGTCACCTCCAAGACATTCCACATTTCTTTTGTTGATTCACTAACATGAGATCTTGTAAAATTTATCCAAAGTTAAGGCATAAGATATGATATTCTTGGCTCCAACATCATAATGTGCTCTTTGACGTTATTTGTCTTTCAATACTTTTTGCCTATTTTTGACATTATATTTTGTAACTCCAACTATTGTCCACCTTGTTTCCCATACACGATTCTTCTATCATTCCATGTAGAAGTCGTTCTTCAATGTCCTCAGTCCATTTCATAAATTCCCTAGTCTCGTCGGACGACTTCGCCGCAACACTCTTTCTCCTATTCATGTCAAACCTAATTGCAAAAAAACCTTATGATATTACATTCAAATATTCATAGAAACAATGCATTATCATTAGAAATAACATAGTCATACAACCCAATGAAGAATAATATCTATGAGTTTTGATAATCTCACCTCATCTTAATTGCTATAACATTCCTAATGCTACAACTAATCATATAATATTCTTCAAGAACTTGAGAAGACGTCGTTTCATCTCCCTTTCCATCAACTTGTATTCAACATCATCAAGTAATGAGTTATCATTGTCCACACCACGTTGGAAATTGTATAGGATGCAACAAGCTAACATAATGTTTGTCATTATATCCAAACAATAATAAGGTTCAGTGTCACTTGCAATGATGAGGGATCTTTTTCTCAAAACACCAAACATCCTTTAAATGACATTTCTCATAGATGAAAGACGATGGTTGAAGAGTTCACATGTCTTTTGTAGTTCTCTTCGACTAAATTATTTAAGGTGATATCTTACACCTCTATACAAAGTCATAACTGTTCTTTTTAAGATGAATCCAACATCTTCAAGATAACACTTTTCTACTAAATTATACCTATATCATTAATGAGTGACAAACAACTTATAAATAAAATGAAAACTATTTTAGTTGTATTTATTTTATTAAAATTAAAAAGATATATTGTTAAATATATTTAAATTGAATTGGTTTTGACAGTCACTAACCAATTTCAAAGTTCTAAATTATGTCATATATATATATATATATATATATATATATATATATATATTTTGGATTTTTGGAACAGTTACTCTCACTACTAGTTTTGTGATTATTTTAATTCAAATACATAATAAATAATTGATTTAACAGGTTGGGTTTTTTTAATCTGAAACTTTATATCAATTAACAATGATAATTACTTTTATTATAATAATTAGTAAAATATGATAAATTATATATTCACATTTTTTTAAGTAGAATTTTTAAACTGGACATATCTATAATATTTTTACCATGTAGTTATAACTAGTAGGTTCCAACAAACACCTCAAACATTCTAGAACTTTCGAAATTCTTAAATAATAAATTTATTATAATTATTACTATTTATTTATTATTCGATTATTCGATATACCTAAATTCAGAAGTAAATATAGCAGGCTTCTTGGGCGAGAAGAAAAGAAGCTTACCCAATTACCCGCTTTATAAATATCCAGCGACCTACCAAAGTTCCCAATTTCAGATCCCTCTGTTTTCCCATTCTCTTTCAACTCTCTTCAATTCCATGGCGAACCAACCCGAGTCCTCCGATGCGTAAGCTTCTGCTTTCTCCTCAGATCTCAAGAACTCGATCGATTAATTTCTCTTCCAACAGATTCTAAATCTAATTCATTCTATTTTCTTCTTTCTTCAGTAAGGGAACAAAGAGAGATTTCAGTACCGCGATCTTGGAGCGCAAGAAGGCGCCCAACCGACTCGTCGTTGACGAAGCCGTAAACGATGACAACTCCGTCGTCGCGCTCCACCCTGATACCATGGATAAGCTCCAGCTTTTCCGCGGAGACACAATTCTTCTCAAGGTGAACGAACCACCCAAGGGTTTTCAGTTTGGATTTTAGTGGAATTTTTTTATAACCATTTTGTGTTGTTTTTTGTCTTTTAGGGCAAGAAGAGGAAGGATACTGTCTGTATTGCCCTTGCCGATGATACCTGTGAGGAGCCCAAGATACGGATGAACAAGGTCGTCAGGAGCAACCTTAGGGTTAGACTCGGTGACGTTGTCTCCGTTCACGCATGCCCTGATGTTAAGTACGGAAAGAGAGTGCACATTCTTCCCGTCGATGACACCATTGAGGGCGTTACTGGGAATCTCTTCGATGCTTACTTGAAGCGTGAGTGCACATGCATACTCTTTTTTTATATCATATTTTGGAAATCCTGATATCATTCTTAAAATTATTAGTCTTATGTTCTGTGTGGATGAACTTTTCTCTTAAATAAGAAGATAGCATGAATCGAGGGCACGAGTTAAGCCAAACAGGGTTTTAACGAAGAACTGATGACTTGCGGAGAAGTTTATCAAAGTGGGTTTTAATAAGTAGTGCTTACGAAACAATTAAAGAAACCAATCTCTTCATTGAACCTCACCTGCTGGACATGCATTTGTGTTGCATTATTTTTGTTACGAATACTAAGCGTGTAAGGGGCTTGCGATATTTGCAAACTATGAGGGAGTGGTATTTTTTTGTTTAGTTATAAGCTTTGTGAGGACGGTGCTTAATCAAGTAATTGTTTTTTCTAGAAATAAGTTAACTCAAATGTACATTAAGTCCTGTTTTACTTTTCCAGCTTATTTCCTTGAGGCATATAGACCAGTGAGGAAAGGTGACTTGTTTCTTGTGAGAGGTGGGATGAGAAGTGTAGAGTTCAAGGTTATTGAAACCGATCCTGCAGAGTATTGTGTTGTTGCTCCTGACACTGAGATCTTCTGTGAGGGTGAGCCTGTTAAAAGGGAAGATGAGAATCGGTTGGACGAGGTTGGTTATGACGATGTTGGTGGTGTTAGAAAGCAGATGGCACAGATTAGGGAACTGGTGGAACTGCCATTGAGGCATCCACAGTTGTTCAAATCTATTGGTGTTAAGCCACCTAAGGGAATTCTGCTATATGGACCCCCCGGGTCTGGTAAGACTTTGATTGCTCGAGCTGTTGCAAATGAAACTGGAGCCTTCTTTTTCTGCATTAATGGTCCTGAGATCATGTCAAAATTGGCTGGTGAGAGTGAAAGCAATCTGAGGAAGGCATTTGAAGAAGCTGAGAAGAATGCACCCTCTATTATCTTCATTGATGAGATAGATTCGATAGCTCCAAAGAGGGAGAAGACTCACGGGGAAGTTGAGAGGAGAATTGTTTCCCAGCTCTTGACTCTCATGGATGGTCTTAAATCACGTGCCCATGTAATTGTTATTGGAGCCACAAATCGTCCCAATAGCATTGACCCTGCCCTTAGGAGGTTTGGTAGGTTTGATCGGGAGATAGATATTGGCGTTCCAGATGAGGTTGGTCGCCTTGAGGTTCTTCGTATACACACAAAAAATATGAAGCTTTCTGATGATGTAAGATTGAATTCTTAAGATTGAATTCTTTCTCCCTTTAGTCGTGGTTTGATATGAATGTCTGAAATATGAGAACGATGTCCGTTGTATAATTTGCAGGTTGATTTAGAAAGGATTGCTAAGGACACACACGGATATGTTGGTGCTGATCTGGCTGCTTTGTGTACTGAAGCCGCACTTCAATGCATCAGAGAGAAAATGGACGTCATTGACTTGGAGGATGAGTCCATTGATGCTGAGATACTAAACTCAATGGCAGTGTCAAATGAGCATTTCCAGACTGCTCTTGGAACAAGCAATCCTTCTGCTCTCCGAGAAACAGTAAGTATTTTACTAGTTTCTCATAGTTTTTTCTCCTCTTGTTATTTCCTCCTTGGTTGACGCTGGTGTGATCACACTATTCAAACTTTAATCTGCAAACATTGGTTTATTAATGGACTAGGTCGTTGAAGTGCCCAACGTCAGCTGGGAAGATATTGGTGGTCTTGAGAATGTGAAGAGAGAACTTCAAGAGGTAAGTTGAGCTACTGCATTGAGATATATCTCTACATGTTTTCTCTCATTTGAATATTGGCTTTAATAAATTTTCTTTTTCTCAGACTGTTCAATATCCAGTGGAACACCCTGAGAAATTTGAGAAGTTTGGAATGTCACCTTCAAAGGGGGTTCTTTTCTATGGGCCTCCGGGTTGTGGTAAAACCCTTTTGGCAAAGGCTATTGCCAATGAATGCCAGGCGAACTTCATCAGTGTCAAAGGTCCCGAACTACTTACCATGTGGTTTGGAGAAAGTGAGGCTAATGTGAGGGAAATTTTTGATAAAGCTCGTGGTTCTGCTTCTTGTGTTCTATTCTTTGATGAACTTGACTCTATTGCAACTCAGGTTTGTACCATACCATACTATAAGCAATGGCTTGGCATCTGCAAAAGTTACTGGTATCTAAGATACTGTTGCATTTACATCCCTGCTTATTAGTTTTAAGACTACTCTAATTGTCTTTTCTTGTCACTTGTGTTTATAACTTGCTTGTTTTTAATCTTGCAGAGGGGCAGCAGCGTAGGAGATGCTGGTGGTGCTGCTGACAGGGTTTTGAATCAATTGCTTACAGAGATGGATGGTATGTCAGCGAAGAAAACCGTGTTCATCATTGGGGCCACTAATCGACCAGACATTATAGATCCTGCTCTTCTGCGACCGGGCCGTCTGGATCAATTGATTTATATCCCACTCCCAGATGAGGATTCCCGTCATCAGATATTTAAAGCTTGTTTGAGAAAATCTCCTGTTTCAAAAGATGTTGACCTTAGAGCTCTGGCCAAGTATACTCAGGGCTTCAGTGGTGCAGATATCACTGAAATTTGCCAGCGTGCATGCAAGTATGCTATAAGGGAGAACATTGAGAAGGTAAACTTTGGAGGTCTAAATATATTAGAAATAATAAATTTGTGTTAGAATAGTTATCAGTATAGGTCTAAATTTATTAGAAATAATAAATTTGTGTTAGTTTAATAAATTGCAATTAATATTCGACAGTAAAAACAAGCCTTTTCAAGAATTTTATATTATCACTTTTCAAAATGTTTTTATCCGAGTTCAGATTGAAGGCAATTTGCTGAACTGTATTATCTTGGCAGGACATTGAGAGAGAGAGGAGGAAAAGAGATAACCCTGAGGCAATGGAAGAGGATATTGAAGAGGAAGAGGTAGCTGAAATCAAGGCAGCTCATTTTGAGGAGTC